CGACTGAGAAAACGACTTTCTTCACGTAACAAATGGAAAATCCATGGAGGTCATCTTCATCTGCAACAGGGAGGCAGAGTAACTAGTTTATTTCTAATTTAAGTTTTAATCAAGATTTCTATAAATCTGGTAATTTATCTGTTCTGCATTTGAAAATATAACCCAAAGTATCTTAAGAAGTAAAAATATATAAACGTAACCCAGGTTAAAAACTATATTATCCCATTTTTCCTGTAACTTGAACACAACCTTAATCACAAGCTGCTGTGATTTTCCTCCTAATAATTTATGTTTTGACTTGGAAAATAAAAATGTTTTTTTCTCTACCTTCTCTACATTGTTTTCTCACAAACTTCAATGTATTTAAATGGAATTACAAAGTAGCGCAGAATTGCTAGAGGGACTGAAACTACTTTTTTATGTAAATAATTTGTAAAGAATGCTGTGCCTTTGTATTTACTTAATCTCTAACATTTAATCTCCATAAATATGTAATTTTTTTAAGAGTTGCAAGAAAAGCCAAGATAATAAGTCACAGACGACCTGCTATAGAAGGTTTTCTGGTCAGATGAGACCAAAACTCAACTTTTTCCTCCTAATGTAAAATGCAAAGTGTGGTTTTCCACTTTTGACTTCAGCACAGAAAATGAATCTGGTCAGAGTTGATGGGAAGGTGGATGGAGTTAAATATAGTATGATAATAATAATAGAAAATTTTTGCTTTAGATTGGTTTGGAAGTTCACCTTAATTTGGTCCAGTCAAAGTCCATGTACTAAACTTTGTTATAACTTGACAAATCCAAAGAGATACAAAGAATAGGAAAACTTTTTCTAATAATCTTGTGAATCTCAAACTTACCGGCATTCTTTGGACAAAGGTGATCAATCTCTGTTGTTTTCTCTGTCCAGCTGACCTGGTTGCTATGGTTACAGACGATTGTTGAACGGGACAGGAAGAGATGGAGGGAAGCACCAGACTTGGTGACCTTTGATCCCTCTCCCCCCTCTTGAAGGCAGGTTTTAGCGGCACATCTGAACGTGCTGCTGATGTCGGCGCCGTCGGCGGTGCAGGTCGCCGTGAGGTTACAGGAGGAAGAGTCGCTGGACACGGAAACGGTCAGATCGACCGGACCCACCGGATCTACGGAGGCAGAGAAACGGTGAGAACCGGTAGGAAAAATTAGAGCAAAGCAGTGATCTCTGGAACAACTGAGAAACAGAAAATAAAAACAAAGTTTTTCTTTGCACGTTAGCAAAGCAAATTCACCAATTCCTTCAAATCTTCAATTGAAAATGTTTATTTAATTCATTGACAGTCTAACATGAGCATGCCACATGTTAACATAAAAGATTTGAATGAAAAGTAGAAGTTTGATGAAAAAAGTCCTCTATAGTCTCTACACCTTCTACCAAAAGTCCATTATCGTCACCATAAGCAACTCAAGACTCCAACTACTAACGTGGCTCAGACCAAAGAGCTGCCCAAAGAAACCAGACACAGAATGGTAGACCTCCACAAGGCTGGGAAGGGCTGCAGGGCCAAGCAGCTTGATGAAAAAAGATCAACTCTTGGAGCAATTATTAGGAAATGGAAGAAGCTAAACATGAGTGTCAATCTCCTTCACACTGGGGCTCCATGCAAAAGGTAACCTCATGACGCATCAATGATCCCAAGAAAGGTGAGGAATCAGCCCAGAACTACACGGGAGCCAAGCTGACACCAGCGTTTCCAAGGTTACTGTGGGTAATCCACTGAGATATCATGGCTTAAAATCATGCATGGACACGACCAGGCCCGTCATAGGTTTGCCCATGACCACTTGGCTGATTGGGAGGAAGTTATGTGGTCAGATGAGACTAAAATAGATGTTTTTGGTCTTAATTCCACTCGCTGTGTTTGCAGGACGAAGAATGATGAGCACCATCCCAAAAACACCATCACTATTGTAAAGCGATGGCTGGGTCTTCCAACATGACAATGACCCAAAGCGCACAACCAGGATAACCCAGGAGTGGCTCCGTAAGAAACACATCAAGGTTCTGGAGAGGCATAGCCAGTCTCTGTGTTTCTCAGTAACAGCCCAGAAACCTGGCTGATGTAGAGAAGATCCGTGTAGAGGAATGGGCCAAAATCCCTGTGGTGTGAGCAAACCTGTTGAAACACTACAGGAAACGACTGACCTCTGTCACGGCAAACAAAGGCTGCTGTACCAAATATTAACATTTATTTTCACAGATGTTCAAATACTTATTTGCAGCAGCAACACACATTATTAAAAAGTCATACACTGTGATTTCCGGATTCTTGTTTTTTATGTCTCTCAGTTCACCTAAAATGGAAACTTCAGACCCCTGCATGTTTTCTAATTGGGAGAACTTGCAAAGTCACACGGTGTTCAAATCACACAGTAGCTTTACGTCAACTCTACGCAGAAGGAAAATATTCAGATTCATCTGAGCAAGTTTTCTTTTGCTTTATGTATCTACATCCATTGGAAAATTGACGCCCCCTGATTCCTGAAAGCGGAGCGAGAACTGCCACTAAAGACAGTAAATGATGTGAAAACTACAACATGTAAAACATCATAGTTACAACTCACCAACTAGTGTTTATGTTTTCATTTCAGAGGCAAGCATATATATATTTTTCTTTTGAATTATATATTTTATATTTAAAAAGTCCTACCTTGAACTGTGACTTTTTGTTCAGCTAGTACTTCTTCTGAAGTCACTGTTACTATCGCCGTATAAAGTCCACTGTCAGATTTTTGGAGGTTTTTTAACTTTATGGAGTATTTATTTTCCAAAAGGTCGATTCTCCCAACGTAAACCCCGCGGACGCTTGATTTTCCACTTGGAAAGAAAGACACCAGCACATCATCTGTGACAAATTTCCATAAAAGGAGGTGATAATCTTTGGGAACAGCGGCTTCTGAGACGTTAAGAAAAACATCGTCACCCTTCCGCACGAAAACCGAAGTGAAAGCATCGATTCCTGTAAAGTACAGATACATAAAAACATAAGGTTAGGACTGTGTGTTTCATTTAAATATCAGAAATGTTTGAAGGAATCCTGTGAATAAAATGGCAGGTTTACATTTTGTTTCATTAACATGTCCTGATAAGATTTAAATAAATTGTTTTCATCTGAAAAATAAATGTATAGGCTATATAGTGTAGGTTGAACAACTTAAAACCTGCAAGGTCAATAAAGCTGGTTACTTTTTTAAATTCTAAGTTGTATTTATTGTGCTTTATTATTTCCTACCTGGTTCATTATTGATGATCAGAAGAGCCAAAATCAGAAACAAAGACATCATCAACTCCGTCAGTGTAAGTCTTTCGCTGTCAGGCAGCAAAATGTTGAGCAGGAAATAACAGCAAAGTACTAGCATGTGAAGTGACACCTGTAAAACCCTTCCTGTCCAAAACCACAGGAACACGCATAAACACACAAACAAATGTTTTTTCTCATCTAGTCTTAAATTATTCTGCTTTCTTTTGTCCATGTGTACATTTGGTGTCCCTTCTGAAAGTTTTTTTGGCTACAAAGAGAGAAAAATGTTGCTCATATTTAAGATGAAAACATAAAGCCACCAAATCAAAATGCAAAGCAACCACTGTTGGTTAAAATTAGGATTATGAACGTGTCATGATTCATGTTTCTGGATTGTTTTATGTCATCCATTGATGGTTTATAAACAACTTTAACATTTTGCTTAATCTACTATCTTTTTGGAATTACATCTTAACTTTAACTAGTTTTGTGGATAATTTCAGTGACTGAATGACTTGTGATGTACATATTTACTAAAGTAAATTAACTATAAAATAGCTTTAATATATTTATATTTAGAATATCTAATGGAAAGGCTAACTGAGTTAAGATACCAGTTTAATGTAACTATCTTTAAGGTTATATGCTTTTATTTTGGTAATTTTCTTGTTAAGGTAGCTATGGTAACAGAACACAGTTCTACCCGATAAGGTTAAGAGCAATAAACAGAAAAGATTAACAGCAAAACATAAAGAAAAGGAGAAAAAGAAACTAAGTTTCACCTTCAGCTGATAAGGGATCAAGTTTGGTAACTGGGATTGAGGTTTATTTGAGTAGCTTGAAATGTAAATAGAATAATCTGTGACTGCTAATGGAAAGTACTAATGTAATGATGGTGAAAACCATCAGTTTTCACTATCAACTGATGG